ACTTTCGATTTGAACTTTGCTTCATCAACAATATGGCACGAGTTTATTTCCACAAACCTGTTAAAATTAGAAGAACTTCAATTCTACATGCGAGTCAGTAGTAAGTTCCATGTTATTCAGTGTTTTTCGTCCGTACATATAAATTGTAACACTTATTTTATTTGAGATCATGATGCTCAACAGTGTCCGTCACCTGTACTCGTTCAATCATTCAAAAATAATCATAACAAATGGATAAACGGTCCTGTTATTATTAATTATAATCATGCTCCTAAAATACCTTTTTTAGAAATCTATACCTATTCACAAGCTGCATGTAATGACAGATGTAGTGTAGAGTTTTACGACACGGAAAGGTTTATGACTACTAAAGATAATATGATTGATATCAGTGAAAACGTAACAATATTGCAGGTTACATTAAATGATAATGATGTACAAATGGTATCGAAAAATCGAGACAGGACAAATTATCCAAAAGTAACAACGATAGTAATTCATTCACAATTGACAACAATACCAATAGAAAACGATTCGATGAACAGGTATGACTACTAACTTATTCAAGAAAAATTTTCTGCTTTTATTCTCAAGTCTAAGTATGATCAGGAAAGCAACATTGCTATCAATTGCGATTGACATTAATGAGAAAATATTGGGTTTGAATCTATGAATATTGTTCCAATTTGAAAGATTTTTTTTCACGAAAAAACATTTTCCTATCAGCTTAACCTTTTTTCTTTAGTTTGATCTGTTCTGATCTGATGAACTCTACTCTTGATTTATCGAAAATCACCGGACTCTGTTTTGACATATACGAGTCGACGAACTTCAATTATCCATCAAGAACATTAGTGTGTTGTCTTCTCAATAAGATGCCCAACGTCTATCGACTTACTCTATCCTACAACTACCTATTGGATTTGTTCAATTCATCACTTGTTGTTGAGATATTAACAAAGCAGATTCAACTTTTGTCGATTGAATTTCACAGTGATCCACCATTACTGGAAGATATAACCCGAATCTTGAATGCATTCTCAACAAATTTACGGTTTCTAAAGATGGACCTTCAAATGGCTTTTACAGTCGACAAATTTTACGTTGTTTTATATTGACACTACAAAAACAACAAGACTCACCACAATCATTCAGTACAGAATTTAAATTATGGTTGAAAGAACGCTTGACTACCTTGATTACTAATGATCCAAAAGCATCGACTACAATTGAATATAATATTAGAGACCAAGAATGTACCGTTGCTTTTTGAATGCAAGAAACATGTAGGGATTTTTTTTTCAAGCCAGAAACATTTTCCAATTAACCCAATATGTTAAACTTTGTTAAGAACCAGTCATTCATTAGTTTTTAAAATAAATATAGATACAGGTATTCGACATTAACTGGAATGTACATGGACAACACCAATATTAACTTCAAATTTCGGGTAAACTCATGATAGTGCATTCCCTAGTTTTGTAAAACGAACGATCTTACGTATCTGTGTGTGAGTCGAATCACATGCACCACAACTCAAACATATTAGGACTAGACTTTTGCAGAGTTTTTCTATAACAAAAAACCGGGACTTTTTGATGTCTGAAAATCACCGACACTGCAGATGTGATTAGAAACGGTGCTTAAGGGTTCGTCTTTGGAAGACATTGATACAATCTAAGCAAATCAAGGAGCACTGTTTAAATTGTATTATTATGATTTTGGAAAGTAATTTTATTCAGATAATTCAAGCATTGAATGCGTTTTTCAATGAAATCTTCGTCTGGTTGCAGTTGATCGAACATTATACTGAAAACGTTTTCGTAACATGTTCGAGCTTTGTCATAATCACTCATTTTTGTACTAGTTGACCCTACTTCTTCGTAAGTTGTTACTTGAAATTTTTAATCAGAATTTAGTTTTTCCAATACATAACTAAACATTTTTCTAGAATATTCACACTATCTTGGAATCATCTTATACACGAGTATATTTCTGTTATCTGATGCATTGTGTAATCAATTTTTAGATCACATTCTGGTAAATCCAAGGCTTTCATATAATTCGATAATGATTGGTCGACATCTTCTATAAGTTTTTTTCGGAGCACACAAATTGAACATGAAAATGAGGGTGTGGGTGAAGAGAATGCCTACGCTCACCCCCATCCCCACACTCTTGCTTATTCTGCTAAAGAATGCTGGGTATGGGTGTCACTGTGGTTGCGAGTACGAAAAAGAAAAGCACCCACACCCAATTTATAAATTTATATAAATAAAACTATTTGTTTTCCTTTTTTCCTAAATTAACATGAGTGCTTCGTTTTTAGATTTATATTCTAAGCGATTTTATGTAGTTCGAGCTTCATTTATAATATAAGTCGGATTAGGCAGCTCATGATTTTTTTGCTATTGTAAGTCGTTTTGAATGAGCATTACACTTTGATACGACCCATAGAATTTTATTTTCTCGAAGTTTAAATTCTTTCTCAACATCAAATGTTGATTGATTATTTTCTTTTGATAAATAAAAATCCACTGCTTCATGACCTTGTTTTGTATATGATAAATTACCTAAAATATATCGACCATAATAATGTACAATATCTGAATCTTGTCGATAAGTCATTGCCCTAAATTGAAAGAATGAAATAGACCATGAAGCAATAAAGATTAACAAACCAATTGAATTTTAAATTAGTTCGACTATATTGTGGATGATTAATAGGTGCTTCCCGTGACCAAAATACTCATCGTTGTTTTAATGAGGTTCGATCTTTATTAGTTAAATTGAAAGATCAATAAAAATCTTCAGCAAAGAACAGTACCGCACTTGGTGAACGTTGTTCAAGGTCTTGAATTTGACATGAAAATTCACATTTCTTTGGACAATTTTCAAAATTAACAACATGCCCACCATTTCCAGTATCTTTACAAATTTTGTTTCCTGTTTTATACGAACGATTATGTGTATAAAGTAAAATAAGTGGTATTGATTGTTTAAAATCTTTCTTAGAAAATAGGGTTTGGGTGTGGGTGTGGGTGTGGGTGTGGGTGTGGGTGGGTGTGGGTGTGTGGGTGGCAGTGACAATGACGAATGAAAAGTGAGCCAAATCCACACCCACACTGAGACGAACACACCGGCACACCCACCCACACTCACACCCACCCCCACTCACACTCACACCCACACACCCAAATTTCTGCCTATAGACACTTCAACACCCTTTCAGTTCGTGTTTCACAAAACTGGTCAATGATCGAAAAAAAGATTTTTTTATTTTTCTTCATATAGTAAAATATCGAAAGCAAAACTGTCAATTTTCCTCTAAAAATTCAATCGAAAAAAATCAAAACATATATATTCTTGATCAGCTCGTCGAGCTCTATCGAACCATATATAAAGAAAAGAAAAATAAATTTTTCCTTAATTTTGCATTGTTTGCACCTTATTAAATGAGGATTACCATGAACTAAACAATATGGTAATTAACGTTGAACTAGCATAAGATTTATCGAATAACTTAACCTTTATTTCAGCAAATTCATATCTACCTAACTCTCTTGCAGCAATGATGAGTCTGAAAAAATTGTAGCTGTAGCAAACATTAATAAAAAGTAAATAATCTTTCTAAAATGATTGATTTCAGATGTATTTTGTCTTGCCAATATCAGTCTTTTATTCTAAAACATACCCACATCCACACTAGCATCTATACGTCTTACATTCTCATCCACACCTACATCACAAATTCACGAAAGAACTATATGGGATCCATTCCCAATCTGCTTCGGAACTTATTAATAAGTTCCGGTAGCTGCTGCAATCCAACTTGTATAAGATGAGAATGACAAGTGTAATCACTTGGCTGTCTTTGTTCGATGAACTTCTTTGTGTCATTCTGTATTCAGTCCAATGAGATAGATTATCTAAATTGCAACAATGATCATTGTGTAGCCATGACTGACGTGTTCATATTCGTCAAAAATGGATAGCAGATAAACAGACGTACATTTCGTCATATTGATACGCGTAAAACAGAATATGTCTGACTATTTAAGTACGTTACCCGTTGAATTAATTAATAAAATTCTCGATGATGTCTCAGCATTTGATATTTTGACATCTTTATGCTTTGTTAATAAACATTTTCGTGCTCTATCTCTCGCCTATCCTCGATTCCGGCTTGATCTTGTCGATTCATTCAACAAGAAAAAACAATTTGACCAACTCTGTACTCAACTAGCCGGTATATCATCCAATATTATCTCATTGAACTTAGAAAATGAAGAAGATAAAACAATACATGACAAAGTAGCTTATTTCTTCTCACGATCCATCATTCTCAATAGCAGATTTTCAAACTTGCATTCGTTGAATCTCAGTTATGTGGACAATGATATTTGGAACTTAATCAAATGTCAGCTTTCATCATTCATTGCTTTGACATCAATGTCGATAACTTATATCTCTGGCGTAGAGGAGCACTCCATATCGACGTTTGCATCAAATATTCTCATAGAACTTCTTTGCTTTTCATCTTCGCTCAAACGACTTTCTCTCAAAACGGACGCGTACCCATGGCATGAGGTTATCATTGATTCGAGTCGTATGTTAACAACATCTTCTATTGAACACTTAAGCCTCGTCGGCATCAAAGTTGATTTGAAATCTCTATTTGCTATTATTCCAACATTACGTTCATTCAATTTTACAGTTGATTACAATCAACTTATTAATAATATTTATCAACATCCATCAGTACATTTACAACAATTGTCGATTACTTTTCATGGCATTACTTTCGATAAAGTCGAACGTTTACTCTCATCTATAACATGTCTAACTCATTTCACACTCATTGCTAATGACGTACAGAAGGATATGTCCAATGGCTACAGATGGGCACAATTATTATCCACGATTAAAACATTCAAGTTCATTCTTACCTTTCATCCTAATGCTTTCGTACGAAGTGTACTCGATCTTTCGTCTTTCTGTACGAAGTTTTGGCTCCTGGAGAAAAAATGGTATGTCACACAGGATGTCTGCATTGATAACTGCTTTTGGATACTTTATTCAAACCCTTACTTTCTTAATTGGTACCCATTTTATTATATAGTTGGTACATTTGTGACAGAATCAACTGATCCTGCTTCGACTTCATTTATTAACGTCAAAAAATGCTGTATTTTTGGTCAATCTATTAGTAACACAACGCTCTGGCGTCGATGTACACATGTTAGTTGTTTGTCAGTGTCGCCATCAATCTTGAATCAAGACCATAAGTGTCGATATGCAACTATGTATCTGGACTTGACGAAAATCACTTGGTTATGCCTTGACGACACCAAGACAGGAAAGTCAATCGATACAACTATTCAACTAATGGATAGTTTACCATCTTTACGAACACTCCGTGTGTCTGTCACCATTTTAAAATTGCTTTTGACACAAAATTGGTTCAATATTGCTAATTTAAGCATAGTATGGGGTTCTGATCGATTGCCGAAATTATTAACTGTGACTGAGACTGATTCTCTTTGTCGCTCTTTTAATCATATTGAAACACTCGAGTTTACTCGTAGCTTTATAGATGATGTCTCGCAACTTCTCAACAATATGATGAAAACATTGTCACATGTATTTATTGATCATGCCTCTTCAATCACACAGCAAGATGATCAATTTATTTCATATGAATGGCTCAAACGAAACACAAATTTAAGCAATTTTGGTTACTCGTGTGATAAGAATAATAATGTCCATATCTGGTTGTATTAATACTTTTGTTTTCATTATTTCCATCATCAGTATACACTCAAATTTGTGTTGAACTTCTCTTAATAACTATATCGATTATCTCCCATGGGATAAAAAATTTAGATATATTCACTGCGAAACGCGTTAATGCTGACCGGTTTAACGCGTTTCGCAGCGTTTTCCATGATAAAAAAGGTATATAATCAATCTTTCTATTTACTCGAAACGCGTTTGGGAGTCATCATTCCGGGATGAAAACGAAAAGTATATCGTTTCGTGGCGTTTTTAACCGATTTAGCAGCTGTGGAACGCATTAAATCGGTCAGCATTAACGCGTTTTGCAGCATTGAAAAGTAACGAAAATGTTCCCATGGGCTATACATAAATGTTTGAAATTTTAAAATAAAATTCATGTATTTTTTACAAAGTCGATATGTTCTCAACGAACTAACACTGACATCCATTACTGAACTTCATTTGTACTGCATCAATTGTATCGATATTGAATATAGCTCAAAATTGAGTTTTTGTCTTTAATTTCACTAATATTTCTATGATGATTATGACCTGTAGATTTTGTCAATATTTGCATTGAGACTTATTTAAAATTTATCATAATGCTAGAAATTCAAGGAGATATAAAAAGTCGATGCATCTTCTTTGCGAGATCATATGTACTACTTTAAGTTTTCAATTAATTATATGTTGTTGTTTTTTGTATTGATTTACATTGAAACAGAAATAAAAAGAAAGATTATATTTCTAGAAAAACAAAATGAACGACAAAGAATAAAAATAATTTCATTTAGAACGTCGATCGAGTTTAAGGGAATAGTACCTGTATTAATGTAAGAAGTCTTTAGAATCGCGCAACTCATTCGTAGATAAGAAAAAATGAATGAAGGAATCAAAGTCATGTTCAGTTAATTTATTCCTCTCTCGAGTAAATAAACATAAGTCATTACCATCTCCGAAGTTATATACCAATGAACCAGTATTGACAGAAGAAAATAAGATGTTCATGAAATGTATCTTGAAGCAGAATATCTAGAATTGATGATTAAACTAGCGATATGAAATGAAAAGATGAATATGAAAGAAAACAAGGAGCATATACATTGCAGTTAATACCAAAAGATATCCAATGTAATTTTCTTTTAAATCAAGCAAAAAATCTTCATATTTTCTCTGATATTATTTACATATTCTTCTAATTGTGAGTTAATCAAGAATCAATAAACTAAGAAAAGTTAAACGATGAAAATTTTTCAAAAAACGTAATGGTATTAATCTATTAAATAAAAAGCCAAACAAATATTTTGACTGCTATGAAAAAGGCTAGTTAGCCAGGTCCTCTGGGGCTAAAATGCGGAACTCACATAATTTCTCCAGTTTCATGATACTAACATTAATACAATATACGTCAAGTGAAACGAATATATCGCATAATGGTTATTTTCGAATACAGTCAATCAACAAGTAACGTGAATCGAAAATCGATTCACTGGGCCCTAGACTGACAGAACTCGCACATGCAAATATATGAACAGCCCACTTTGTCGGCTGTTTCCGCCACAGATCCTGAAATTTCTAAAAAGATGGCTCGATAAGTTCAACCGAAACATGGAAGATAGAGGGCGAATAGGTGAAAATGGGGTACCGATCAGACGAAAAGGAAAAACTTCCAAGAACAATGAGAAGAAAAACGCAGCCAAGATAAGCCTGAAATACAGGTGCGAAGCAGTGACAGAGCCACGATTGTGCTTCTGAAAGAGGGGGACTCTCAGCCTCCTGACTAATGGAATACACTGTTAGCAGTTCGCGTTAGGAGGCTTACATATCTTTGAGAGGGGAAAGAGGCTGAGCTTCACCTAGCAACTAGATCACACCGTTCAAAAATTTAGCGATGGAGGCATCACATTTCCTTATAGGAATTCCGACTGCCCCCTACATCTGCACTGTTTTTGGAAGTGACTACTCCTCGTGGCTCTTAAGTGAATCCACCAACAATGTATGCCATGAAACTGGTCATTTGTACCATAACAACGGTCGTTAGTGCCATAGAAATTGTCACTTCTGCCATGGAAATGGTCATTTGTGCCATAAAAATGGTTATTTGTACCATAAAAATGATCATTTGTGTCACAGACTTGGTCATTCGTGCCACAGAAATAGTCAATTGTGCCATAAAAGTGGTCATTTGTACCATGGAAATGGTCGTTTTGTGCCAGGGTGTGGGTGTGTAAATGAAGAACATAATGATACACAACTACGCTCCACACGCACATGCACACCCACACCCCACACCATAACCCGGCTAGTCTGCTGTGTGATGATTCATAATTCAATAGGCTTGTGAGTTTTAATGGCACTGTGATTTCCAATTACTTTTTCGTTAGAAAAATATTAAGTAAGTCTTTTCGAGGATTCCGATTGCCTGCATAGTTTGCGATTCGCATGTTTTTAAATCCTTATTTATACCAGGTATATCGGCATACTAACAAATATTTCAGTGTAAGCGTTTCGCTGATTCTGAAGGATGACATCATGGATGTATCATTATGAATATTGCATAGCTTTGCCAAGGGTCTTACTTTGTGTCTCTCTGCACAGGCCTGATTCTGAATTGAACTCAATCAAGCCGTCATATGTACATGTAAATAAATTGGGTGCTGAATGCCTGCATGTAGAGAATCTCATCATTCTTTGATATAACAATCCATTCGGAAAAAGTGAATTATAATATGCCTTTTAATCGATTGTAATCCTTTCTCTGATTATTTTTGCCAGTATTTTTACATGAGAACGCCACAAGAAAACTCTCAGGAAAGAAGATCTACTTCCGATAGGAATCTTTGATTTATGGAATGGAAGCTGATACCATAATAATTCTGAAAAGAAAATAGGTTAAGAGCAGCAATCTGCCGTCATATCCCATCACTGGATCTGCACTCTACAGCCCATCATAAAAAGATCAGGTCACCGCTAGGCCATCGGAGCAGAAGCGTCAGTGTATGGAACATATTTTGTCGTCTTGACTAAACCACGCGAACGGTAGAGGGCAATCTCATCGGAAACGAGTGATCGTATCCAAACATCGTTTCGGGTTGCAGAAATTGATGGGATCTAAGTCGGAACCGATTTAGAAATCCAGCCTCAGAACTTCGCTACAAATTCATCACAAATAGTCGTTCCCTTTCGTACGTCTTTCACCTGAGAAGAGAAAATCAAGAAATCTAGACAAAAATAAACTGACAAAAGTAAAAGGGTCCTTGAGGAAGCCGCAGATAGAAACTAACAGAAATGGAAACATATATTCTTTGGTGAGTTAAATGAGAAAGAGAATACCGAAAATGAAACAGTAGACAATAAGTTCCTAGATATCAAGGATGAACAATGACTGAAGGATATCAAATCACATTTCACTTGTGTGCAACGGCACACAAACTCTTTCCCACGCTAGAAATCATTAGAAATCAATGTAAATCACTTTAAGTGCCGGCAAGTCATCAGTAATCATTTTAACGGCTTGAAAATACGAACAATGACTAAAAGTAGTTTAAAATTATCACAAATCATCAAAACTTATTGGATACCATTAAGAATCATGGGTGATTAATAGAAATCAATCGAAATCATTCCAATGCCTTAAGCATCGGAGTAATGACTGAAAGTCGTTACATCTATCAGAGACCATCGAAAGCCATTAGAAATCATTAGAAATTGATGGAAATCACTCTAAATCATAGAAAAACTTCTTTAACCCTTTCGCGGCGATGTGGCCCACCGGTGGGTCACACTTTGTATTTCATATTTTATCTCTAAATACGTTTTATTAAATAAACAGCATATACCATAAGATGCAGCGTGAAAAGCTCTACAATCTCATAGTAAACCTTATTTTAATTGCGTAATTTTGTTTTTAGAGAGAGAGTAAAACTGTGTGACTAGTTTTCGAGGTTGCGAAACGATCATTTTTTTCTACATAAACGTGAAATTTCATATTTCTTGTTTCATCTTTTTATCCCCTAATATGATAACGTAGGAACAAACGAAATATACCAAAAGATGCAATGTGAAACGCTCTACATTCTGCGCCGAAAAGCTTATTTCAGTTGTGTACGTTTCGTTTTCACCAAAAGCTAAATTCTGTGCGATCAATTTTCGCAAACCCCAAAGTTGGTCCCACACAGTTTTGCTTTTTTTGAAAATAAAAAGTACACAATTGAAATAAGTGTTACAATGTACATTGTAGAGCTTTTCACGCTGCATCTTGTGGTATATTTTGTTTTCTAATACAACGTATTTAGAGATGTTACTTTCTATGAAAATCTAATCGCCGCGAAAGGGTTAATAATATTGAAAGTAAATCTCTGATTTCTAATCATTTTTATTGATTTTCCTTGCCTTTGAATAATTGCCAATATTCCTAGTGATTAATCCTGATTTATAATGACTGCGCATGGTTTTTCCTTATTTGTAAGTACTTCGTAGCCGACTTGACGTTTATGGGAGCTTTATGGGGATCTAACTTCCGCCAAAAATTGAAAACATGTCCGGCTATGGAAAATTTCCAATAGGTTCTGGTGGAAGATCAAATGAGGCACTTTTTGCCGAATTTTTAGCCCCTCTAAGTTTTCAAAACAATCGACAACCCTACTTCCTATGATAACTCTTGACTCGTGGTGAACAGATAATAACTGATCGGCAGTGATCCAAATCACTCGAAATCAAAGCAATCAAGAAATCTGAGTCTTCGACTGTTTGCATGGATGCTTGGCGATCTTTTTCAGGATCAGTTTTATTTTCAACAATGCATAAACCAACATCGCCATCACCAAGCATTTGTTTTAATTCTTGAAGTCTATTTTTCATCAGTAAATAAATAAGTAGAATCTTAGTTGATTAAATATATTTCTCTGAATGAGATCAATATATTTGATCGAATGAATCTTCATGCCTTATATCCAATACAACTATGGCACCATTTGCTGTACTATAATATGCACAACTAATAATGAAATAAAGTTCAATAAAAAAAAGTATATGTTGAATAGAATAGCTATTAATACTCAAGTTCTCTAAAAAGTTCAGTTCCTGTTGTATCCTAATAAATAAAAGCGTTTAAGAGAATTTTTCAATGAAAATCCAACACATAAATATAGATAAAACTCAATGATCATGTATAGTTAACTTTTTTGATTTATGGGAAGCCAGACAAAATGTAGCATTAGACATTCCAAAGAATTCAAAAGATCCTTTCCAATAAAATCTAATTTTTACTTAACCTTTTACTTTACCAGTTAAAACAAACATTTCTATTCATCGTTTATTGCATAACAAGACTTCTATCTGAAACCTAAAATAATTTTTTTTCCTATATAGATTCACAGAAATAATGATAAAAAATAATGGATAGCAGCGTGAAAGTAAAATTTTGTACTATCACAACGATAACTGTAAAGATAAACGCATGCAAGATTAGTTCATTCTAAAGTTTCTTCTAAAAACAATATTTTGTCAAGAGTGCGCGTGAAAGCGGGTGACTGTGAGTTGCTATGAACGACTAGAATAATCGTGCCTAGCGACACTCACTCTCCGGTCATTCCATACTAGAGATATAACCAGAAGAAAAAATTCAATAGACGTGAGAGAAATTTATGAGTTTGTGAAAAGAATTTAATTAGAAATCTCAAGTTTTAGTGTGGATACAGTCCTTTTTGTTTATTGATATTCACATCCACACCCGAATATGCCGATACTTTGAATCCAAAAAAAAATAATCTCGAATTATCACATAATTCATAGAACTTGTCTGTTTGGTTTCTATAGTTAACATAGAGATGTATCATAGTTCATCGGTGACTAGTACAAAATGCTTTTCTTCAATTGATCAATCGATCGTACATTTTAAAAATATTGACTATCAAAAAATGAGTTTCATGAAAAGTATCAATCTCATTCATACTTTATTTATTTATTTCATCATTTTCACTCATCCATAAACACAATGAAAAATTATATTTATCGTTAATTTCGCATATAAAATCATTTCCTTTTTTGCTTTTTAAACGACAACTATGTTTCTTCAACCATTGACGTGTTATTTTGATTTTATCATACTTGTCAAAGTGATATTCATCAAGAACAAAGAAACCGTTGATCATATTTTTGAAATGATCGATTAAAAAAACAATTTGTTTTTTCGAATTAATCGAAGCAGTTAATCGTTCTACACATGGAAAAACTTTTGACCAATTGAATTGAATTTTTTCTTCGTGTCGACCAAATTGAGGTAAAGACAATCGTCGAATTTGTGATAATGAAATATCAGGGAAATATTTGTCTTGTAAATTCGCTTGAGTACAATTGAGACGAAGATAATTGACACAAGGCATTTCTGTTTTAATCAATATTACAATTTTGTCCAATGGCCAATCCGATGTATTGATAATTAATGATTCTACTTTGGATATATCAACAATATTATCATACATATAAGGATCATCGAAAATGAGTTCTTTCACATGATAATAACGATATGGATATTCCGATTGATCTGATTCATATCCTAATTGATTAACAAGATCATAAAAAATATTTTGTTGTTCAAGAGGTAATGTTGTCCAATCTGATGACACCGAAGTAATTGAATTATTCGTTTGAGTTGAAATGAAATGAGGTACGGTAAATAATTTTTTTCTCCGTGAATCAAAAGCAACAAACCAATGTTTATTCAACCAAAATGGAGAACGAAATCGATCAATTATTTCTCGTTCGATAGAACTTGCAGGAAATTCAAAATTCAAAATGATTAATTTTGGTAAATGTTCGACAATAATTTTTTCCCAATGATTAGCATTAAAAAATTCATGATCTAAATAAGTTTCAATGATTAATTCTAATTGTTGCAAACGTCGAAATGGAGTAAGAAATAGTTTAAAATGATTATTCGTTAGTTCTTGACCTTAAATAGAATGAAAGAAAAAAAAACATTTTTAATATAATTTTTCATACGATCCTACACCACTTACCGGGGGCTTTGATTGTTAGTGATAGAGAAACGAGATCAACTGGTGTTATTTGTATTTGATGAATATAAGCGAATAGATTCACTTCTATAGGCTTGAAAAATAACAATGAAGTTTTAAATGACTTAATTTGAGGCATCTTATTAAAAAAATGTAGAAATGCACCAACTGAACAATAAGATATAGATAAATGTCGTACATATTCCAATGACAATGAACCAACGGATCGTCGAATATCAAACTGCACACCTGATGGAAAATTAATAATGAGATTTTTTTATTGGCGGCAAAGCCTTAATCAATGGAAGGTCAATTCGAATATTGATTTCAAGAGATACAAGACTTTGCACTTTGTGTAATTTCGATAATAAGGATTGACCATCATCGGTTAATTCAATTAATTGTAATGAACGTAAGCGAGTAAATTTTTCGATTCGAAAGCGAGTTTGAAACAATTGAGATTGGCAAGGTGTTTCTGTCTCATCAGCTAGAATTAATG